GTGTGACCCTGCACAAGTTATTTAATCTCTCTCTGCCTCAGTTTCCTCAACTGTAAAATGGGGATAATAATAACACCTACCTCTCAGGATCAAATGAGATAATATATGTAAGGCATTTAGCCCAGTGCCTGGCACATAGTAGGCATCTAACAAATGCTTGTTTCCTTCTTTTCTTCCTTCCTGGAATTCAAGAGTCTCCACAGTTTGGCTTCCTCCTATTTGTCTAGCCTTATTTTATGCTGTATTTTCTTTAACAAACTCTCTATTTCAGGCAAAATAGATTAGTTATTTCTTAAATTCTACATTCAATTTCTGTTATTTGTATTTACACAAATCATTCTACATGCTTGGAAGTCCTTCTATTCTCACCTGGGCCTCTCTCAGTCAATTATGTGCCTACTATATGCCAGGCACTGTGCTAAGTACTGGGGATAAAAAGAAAAGCAAAAGAAAGTCCTTACGCTTATGGAGTTCACAGTCTAAAGAGGGAGACAACATGCAAATAACCATGTACAAACAAGACATATACAGGAGAAATTGGAGCTAATCAAAAGAGGGAAAGCATTAGCATTAAGGAGATCTAGAAAGGCTTCTTATAGATGGTGGGATTTTAGCTGAGACCTGAAAGAAGCCGGGGAAGATGAGAGGTGATAATGATGAGGGACAATATTTCAGGCATAAGAGACAGCCCAGTGAAAATGCTGCAGTTGAGAGAGAGAGTTTCTTGTTCAAGGAACAACAGAGAGGCCAGTGTCACTGGAACACAGTGTATGTGTGTGTGTGTTTCGGGAGTTGGTGCCCTGGGGCACTCCACTAGTGGTGAGTTGTACCAAATGAAGCACAAAGAGTATCTTTGTGGCTCCAACCCCAAGATCCCCCCAAAAAGAGAATGACTTCAAAATATTTACAAGCAAAACCTTAAAGAAAAACACAGCTTGGACACAAGTTCAATTCGAATTCCTGGTAGAGCTGAAGTAGGAGTCAAAGAAAGAACTAAAGATAATTTTCAAAATGAAATGAGAGTACTAGAGGGAAAAATAAGAAATTAGAAGAAAGAATTAGAGAATGAAAGAACAGCTTTTAAGAAGTTTAAAATCTTACCTAATAATGGAGAATAGCTTGCTACCCTCCCTACTATTCCTTCTTTCCATCCATCTCGTCCCAAACACACATGTGATAGGGGTTATTTCCTAGAAGAGGGATTATACTTTTTTTTTCCTTTTTGGTGAGGCAATTGGGGTTAAGTGACTTGCCCATGGTCACACAGCTAGTAAGGGTCAAGTGTCATCTGAGGTCAGATTTAAACTCAGGTCCTCCTGACTCCAAGGCCGGTATTCTATCCACTGCACCACCTAGCTGCCCCAGGATTATACTTTTTTAGCTTATCCCAAGAAAGCATAAGTAGGAGCAGTAAGTTAAATGAGCAGAGGCAGATTTGGACTTTATGAATGGAAAAACTTTCTAACAATTATAATTCTCCACAAGTAGAAGGTACTGCCTAAGGAGGCTGGCTGTATGTTCAGTGTCATTAGAGGACTTCCATCATAGGCTGAATGGCCACTTGGGTATGTTTTAGAGGTGATTCTTAATTAGGTACAGGCTGTGAGGCTTTGTGGTGTAGCTGAAAAAGAAATGTCTCATAGTGTAAGGAGTTGGGTTCAAATCCCACCTCTATGACCTTGGGCAAGTTTCTTCATCTGTAAAATGAGGGAGTTGGACTAGATGCCTTCAGAGGTCCCTTCGAGCTCTCCCTCTGTTATCTAGAAGCTTCTGAAATCCCAAGTGAAATTTTGCTATTCTGCAAACATGATTGCACAGTTGTTTCTTTGTCTTTGTGCTTGGCTGTTTTTGTATCTCTCCATGAAACCCCTTGCTGTGAACAAACTCAAGCTAAAGCTAAATAACTGAGGCTGGAGACAGGCAGCAGATGCTCAGTGGAGTTTGTCCTTTCCTGCTCCACATGCCTTGCACTCTAATCAGTCGGTGCATATGGAAATAGCTGGAGATAGAGGAAGAGACCTCTGAAATTATACTAAGAAAAAATACTTCATCATAGGATGTTTGTTTCATAGCTAACTTTTCAGAAGCTGTATTTTGTGTAGAATACATCTGTAACAGCAGATCAGATTAGGAGTCTTGCCTCCTCCATTCCCTGGAATCCTTAACCAAGAATAAAGCCCCTCAAATTGAGATTACAAGCAAAATCTCTGCTATAATGAATCTATTTCATCTACCAAACTATCAGTCTATTTCAACCAAACCCAAAGTGACTTCACTATTTTATTATGAATCTTTAAAAAATGCCCTCAGTGCAAACATTTTAAGATTAATTTTAATTAACATTTAAATTAATTAAACATTTAATTTTGAAATAAAAATAACTCATTTTATCTAGCACTGAAAGTTCCTCACAACAATCCTCTGTGGTAGGTAGGTATGGCATTATCATCCCTATTTCACATATTAAGCCATTATCCAGAAAAAATGTATTCTAGCTTGATGAAGCTTTCAGAAGTTATGGCATTCTATCACCTAAGACTAAAACCGAACAGTCTTGCATTGCCTGTGCCCAGCACATTTCTTACGTCTAGTGTTGGAGGTTTCTTGGAAAAGTGCTTAATGCAGCTGTCAATACTAAGATGTTTTATGAGAAGTATGACAAGCTGAAGTTTGATTACAGCTGTGTCTGCAAATATTGGGAAAGAACGTTGAACATGCTATTAGTAAAGAAACTGCTTCAGAATAGTTATGCAAATTTGTCAAATTGAGTTGGTTTTACTCATAGTCCTGTGAATGAAAAACATATTTTAGCAAATCACTAGCTTATAGAAATTCTCTAGTTTTGTAGCCTATTCTTTAAGAGATTAAAAGGTACATGGGGACCTTAAGCAAAAGGTTTATTTTCATAGGATTGAGGTCCACGTGGAGAGTAGTAATTCCTAGAATGTTTGGGGGAATCTAAAACAAATCCTGCAGTAGTTACTAAATTATAGTTATTGAAAAGAGAAAATTTATCCCCAATAATAGCCATTCAAATATTAAGCATAACATAGCACAAGCAATGAAAAATAAGGGCACGTGATAGACTGTTTCAGGAATTACTGAATAAAATGAGCAGCTTTCTAATATTTTTTTTTGCATTAATCAAAAATCTAGCTGCTAAAAAAAGTGCTTTTGAAGTTCTTCCCTTCCATCCCCAGTCTATATGTGACTCAGAAACAGCAAAACTACTGACTGACATGCACTTTTTAATCGGAAAAGAAAGGAAAATTTTAAAGGCTACAGTTTGTAAGCAAGCTTGAGAGGAGGCCGTGGTCATCAATAAGACTTTGAAAGACATGAAAAGCGAAGAAATAAAGAAAATAATAACAGATTGTTATTGCCACACCTGTAACATTACTGATATAAATAAGTACTGCAATAGAATTGTTAATTTACGAACGCTACTGGTTATATTTGCAACAGTTAATAACAGAAAAAGATGGTCCCACCACCACCTAGCCTGTTAATCTGTTCTCTGCTTTAGCTTATGCTATTTCGGGGCATTCCAGAGGGGAAATAAGGTCGCCGAAAAACCCAAATAAGATTGCCTAATGCTGCAGGGAGGTGATGATCTTTTGGGTATATGACGTGGGTAAGGAGGAGGAAAAAAAAAAGCTCAGTCGGAGTCTTAGATCTGAGATCTGGTATTTACTGCTGGTTTGATCGGGGTGGGCTGGGAGAAGAGGGAGGACAAGGAGAATTTTTAGGGTGGAAATAAAGTAGCACAACAAAGAGCGGTGCCCGCAACCAGACACATAAAGCAGGCGCGTCCCTGGCTCAGTAAGAGCAAAGAGCCCGAACCATTCCTCAGCTCGCTTGTCCTCCCCTGTGGCAGCCCCAGAAGACGTCCGCCTTGCTTTGATCGCCGCTCCCAGCAGGGGACCGCGTGATTATCCTGGGCCCCGCAAACCCCTAGCCGGCTTTCTCACGTTCCGGGCCTCCCCAGGGCCCTTTCCACAGCCCCTTCCACTACGTCTCTTTTTCCCCAGGGGACCCCAGCCAGTCGGGGGCGACGGCCTGAGACCTTCGGGCGCATGTGGGCGGGGCCAGGACTGAGGGAAAGGGAAGGGTGTGGGCTAGTGCCCTCTTCCAACATGGCGCCAGGGGAGTCGTTCCTACAGCTCTCTCCCGCCCCCCGGGTTCCGGCTCCGCGAGTTTTGGTTCCGGAGTACAATTCCCTCTTCTCCCTCCACCTCCTCTCCTCCTTCTTCCTCCCTCCTCTTCTCCTCCTCCTCCTCTTTCTCCTCCTCCTCCTCCTCCTCCTCTTACTTCTACTCTCCCTCTTTCTCCTCCTCCTCCTAGTCTTGGGGCAGCCGCCGCCTGGGAACGCTCTGAGCTCGGAGCCGGCCACGGGCTGAGCCCACCAAGGGCCCCGCACAGGGCCGGGAGGGAGCAGCGGCTCGGCTCGCTCGTCCTAGTCTCCCTTTGGCTTCCTCTTCCTCAAGGGGCACGGAAGCCACTTCCCTTGAGTCGTCCCCCTTCTCTCCACACCAGGCTGACTCCCAGACCCCCTCAGCGGGGGCCCAGAGCGGGCTTCACCCCCTCCTTACACGCCCCCCCAACACAGGCAACAGCCAGCACCCCTTCTCTCCTCACCCCACTGCCCCACCTCTCCACACGTCCAGGGTGACTAGGCCCCCATTGCCCTGTTACCCAGACGGGGGCTCGAGGCAGGCTCTGCAGCCTAACCCCTCCCCGTCTAACAACTCGACATCACTCTCCCAACATCCCCCCCCTCGCCAACCCCCTCCTTCATCCTCTCAACGCCTTCCTTCTTTCATCCTCCTAACCAGCCCCACTATCCTCCCTCACTATTTTCTTCCTCCCCCTCCATCCTTCCCCTTCCATCTTCCCTCCCTACCTCCCTACATTCATCATCTTCCCCATTCTCTGGCTTTTCACCCCATGTTCACGCCCCCAAAAGGGGCAGTGAGTGCTTTCTTCCACCCCCTACCCCAAGGATGTGAGCCCAGTGGTCGGTAATGCTGTGGCTGGCCCTTGGCCCCTCTCATACCATGGAGAACCAGGTGCTGGTGATTCGAATCAAGATCCCAGATGGTGGAGCTGTGGACTGGACAGTGCACTCTGGGCCCCAGTTGCTTTTCCGGGATGTGCTGGTGAGTGGTCAGCCCCCAAAACCAAATCTCAGTCTGAAGCCTCTTTGGGGGTAGCATACGCTTCGTCCTTTTTAAAGACTAGATAGGGAACCTGCAGCCTCAAGGCCACATGTGGCCCTCTAGGTCCTCGAGTGCAGCCCCTTTGATTGAATCCAAACTTCACAGAACAAATCCCCTTACTAAAAGGATTTGTTCTGTAAAACTTGGACTAAGTCAAAAGGTCACACCTGAGGACCTAGAAAGCCACATGTGGCCTTGGAGGCCTCAGGTTCCCCAATCCAGGTGCTTGGGGGATTTCCTAACTCTAGCACATATCATTACACTGATTTCTTTTAATTGATGTGCCTTAGGGTAGAAAAGGGGATCTTTTTACTTCTTATATTGTCTGTTAAGATGCTCAGAATACTTTTCACTTTGAATCATAACTTTACAGGTAGAAAGGATCTTAGGAATTGTGTGTTTTAACTTCTGTATTTTACTTTTGAGTAAACTGAGGCCTAGGGAGGTTAAATGTCTTACATAAGGTTGGTCCCTGGAACATTGAAGTAAAGTCCAGGCTCAGAGAGCACTTTTAACTCAACTCAATGAAAAAAGGTAGAGGGTACAGTTTTCTAAGTCTTTTGAGGTTGGGACCAGGTTCATCTTCCTGCGTATTCTTCGTCCATACCTAGTCTGGAGCAATGCACACCTCTGGTTATCTAGAAATATTCACTGGCTGCCATTCCATTGATGAATTAGCTGGATAAATGACTATCATATGTCTTTGATGAGTGATACTTGTAAATTGAGCTAAAGGTGTCAAAGACTGGCAACATGCATAGTCAGATAAACCTTTTATGGTTCAGTCTTTTAACCCAATTTAACCCTGTGTTTGTGGCAGCAGCATTGAACTGGGAGTCTGGAGATCTAAATTCTAGCTAGTTGTGACACTTGGTGTGTGACTTTAGGCAAGTGACTTCACCACCTTGGGCTTCACTTTTCTCATCTGTAAAATAATTAGATTGGATTAGCTCTAACATTCTGTCATTCTGACTCCGTTTGGATAGGCCAGGAAGAGGCCCACCTGAACTTAAGTGGCTATGAAATGTCAAGATATTTGTCTCCATAGTTTTCTTGAACGTTGCCTTCTTAAGTTCATAGCCCCTAATCGTGGGAAATATTTCTGTGGGAGAGCTAGATCATTTAGAGGTTAAGTGAGAATGTGTACTTGGGGGCATGATGGGGAAGACCAGAGGAGTGCATCTTGGTGGGAAATGAAGAGATGCCTGGTCTGGGTGCCTTTCTTTCTTTCTTTCTTTCTTTCTTTCTTTCTTTCTTTCTTTCTTTCTTTCTTTCTTTCTTTCTTTCTTTCTTTCTTTCTCTCTCTCTCTCTTCTCTCTCTCTCTCTCTCTCTCTCTCTCTCTCTCTCTCTCTCTCTCTTTCCCTCTCTCTCTCTCTCTCTGCAGTCAGGGTTAAGTGACTTGCCCAGCTAATAGTGTCAAGTGTCTGAGGCAGCATTTGAACTCAGGTCCTCTTGACTTTAGGTCTGGTGCTCTATCCACTGCACCATCTAGCTGCCCCCTGCGTGCCTTTCATAAGTGGAGACTCTGGGAGGAGATATGATAACCAGTAGGAGAGGAATAATTAAATTATTACTTCAAAATTGCCTGGGAGGTAGTATGGTCTTTGGTGTTAGGGATGATAATCCTTATAACAAATTAATTGTAATATGGGAAGTTCATCCTTTGAAAACATATATAGAAAATGTAATTTCATTTCAGTAGTTCAATAAATATTATCTATTGTATGAAGAATATTGTGTGTAAAATTTAGGTAAGATACAGTCCCTGCCCTCATACTGGTGGGGAGTAAGACATGCCTTAGTACTTAGTGACTCCATGATCTCATCCAAATGGATAGCCTCCAGTGGTGGTCATAATTTAGTACACCTTTTTTCCAATCTTGTATAATTCTCGTCTGTGTCCTCCAGTAAATCCTAAATCCTTTACAGAGGACCGACCAATGTGCTGAAGCCTACTCTTGGATCTTTTTAGATTATGTAGGTATCACTGCAGCCTTCAGACTGTCTGTCAGCTATCCCTTGATCTCACTACATGACCAACAGTCCTTTTCTTATCATACAATTTCGTGATATCTCTTGTCACTTCCTGAATGAGAGGCATCATTGGCAATGTGCTGCAGTCTGTGCCTGCCATGTGTTCCATGGTTCATTAGGTCACCCACAATTTTGATTCATTGGAGATTGGTTCATAGCCACAGAGCATCACTGAAAGAAAGCTTGTGTTAAAAAAAAATGAATTTAGGGGTCAGACAACACCTGGGGCACTTGAAAGCACTATATAGTTATCCAAGTGTGACCTGGCCTGATCTCATCCTGTTCACTTCTGGGCTCAGCTTATTGTCCATCTACAGTGTCTCTCCAATAATGTACTAATGAATTAGCTCAAGGAGTTGTCATAGGTAGGACAATAACAATTCTTCATTTGTTTTTTCTTGTATAGATTGTTAGTGGTGATTAATCTCATTAAAGAAGCTCTGTAGTATTCTAGGACTTGATGCAGTGTGGCAAATAAAATTAATAAAGGTAAAATGGAGGTATGTGGCTCCAAGAAAAATCATCTTATTAACAGTAATCCCTGTGACTGTTAACAAAGCAGGTCAGACTAGAAATCTCAGTAAAGTCAAAGACCCCAGTGAAAAGGAGGGGACCTTCTTTGCTGCATACAACAAAGAAGGGGTCTTGTACAACTAGCTATACTAGGAAAGGTGGGCTGGCATTCAGGTGAGGCAAATCATGCCCCTCTGACAATTAAGGAATGTTAATTCTTTTATGGGACTCATCTGCATCTTTGCTAGGGGATCAAAACTACCAGACTTTCTTTCTCTTGGAAGAGATAAAAACTCCCCTAATTGCACAAGAACAAGCAAGGACTGATCACATATCGTTTGGAGGTGATACCAAGTTAATTTGTGGTGCTTAAAGATAACAGATGTTCTGGAAATATCTCAGGAGCTACCATTCTAAGAGATAACAACTTTTCTTTTAATTATAACTTTAAACTAATTCAGAGGGAAGGCTAAATTCCTGAGCTCAACTCAAGTATGTAGAAAGGTAGCTTTAAGCAGATACAGACTCAATTACAATATGAGATCATTACAATATAAAATCAATTATAAAGTAAAATTAATTTGAGTTTCTCACAGTAAAATTATATCCATAAATAGGAACATCTGTAAGGTTGTCTTCTGTATGCATTCCTATTCTTTCTGGATTCCTCATAGGACATTCTCCATGACAGCAGTAAGAGTGCTTTGGAGAGCTTACATGTATTTGTTTTGCATCTCATGTGAGATTAAGAATAAAAGAACCATTGAACAGTTATCACTATGTTGCATCTATCAAGGAATTTTGTATGATCTTAACTCAAGCCCAGGAAACACCTTGTAGAAGGAGAACCTTTAAGGCTATTTTCTGTTCTACTTAGTCAAGTGGTTTTTTTATAGTAAAAGAACAATTCGCAATAGGATTTTAAAAAATTCTCCACAACTTTTAAAGCAGTTGTGTGACTGTGACAGTCAGAATCACAGGATCCCAAAACTGGAAGGGACAGCAGAAGTTAGCTGGCCCAATTCATACCTGAAAAGGACAATAACATTCTCATCAAGTGGTCATTCGGCCTCTGCTTGAGGAGGGACCCTCTGACTCCTGAGGCAGCCTCTTCCACTTTGGGATAGTTCTAATTGTTAGCAATTTTTTCCTTGTATAAAGGTTGTCTGTCTCTTTTCAACTTCTACCTATTAAAGCTATGATATCTCCCCCAACAAATTTTCTTTTCTCCAGGGTAAATCCCCAGTTCCTTCGGATGATCCTCATATGGCATGATCTCAAGGCCATTCACTATCCTGGTTTCCTTTCTTTTGCCTTTCTTATTAATGTCCCACTTAAAATGTGGTACCCATACTGACCATAGAACTCCAGATGTTATCTGACTAAGCACTATCCCCTCCCTAGTTCTAGGCACTGTATCTTTCTTAATGCAGCCTCAGATTACATTAGCTTTCTTGGTCATTATATTATGCTATTGACTCTTACTGACTTTGCAGTGCATCAGAACTTCCAAATCTTTTACAGACAAACTGCTCTCCTTCATCATGTACTTATGAAGGTGTTTGTTTTGAACTTGAGTTCTTCTGTAGAAAATCATGGAAGAAATTCTTTTCTCATATTTTTGTCAAGGATACCCTCAACATTTGTGTAGCTCATTGTCATAAAGCTTTTATAGTGATGAGAAAATATAGATCAATTATTGCTATCCCCATCAATCAATCAAACGTTTTCCAAGTGCCTACTGTGTACCAAGCACTATGCTAAGTGCTGGGGATACAAAAAGAGGCAAAAGACAATCCCTGCCCCCCAAAGAGCTCATAATCTAATGGCGGAATATGACAAACATGTGCAAACAAGCTATAAATGGAATAAATAGGAAGTAATTTACAGAAGGAAGGCACTAGAATTAATGGAGCTCGGGAAAGGCTTCCTATAGAAGGTGGGGTCTTAGTTGGGATTTAAATAGGAAGCCAGGAGGCAGCCATCAGGAGGGAGATCATTCCAGGCATGGGGGACGGCAAGAGAAATTGCCCAAAGCCAAAAGATGAAGTGTCTTGTTTGAGGAAAAACCAGGAGGCCAGTGTCACTGCCTTGAAGAGTACATGTCAGGGAGTAAGGTAAAGAAGATTGCAAAGGTAGGAGGAGGCTAGGTTATGAAGGGCTTTGAATGCTAAGCAAACGATTTTATATTTGATGCTGAAAGCAATAGGGGGCTATTTATTGCATAGAGGAGGTGACATTATTAGACCTGCACTTTAGGAAAATCACTTTAGTGATTTAGTGGTTGAAATGGAGGACTGATTGCAGTGAAGAGAGACCTGATGAAGGAAGATCCACCAATGATTGTTTCATTTGAGTATGATATTATCTGTGATTTTCCCCAATTGTTTGGTATTTTCCCCCTCTTTTTGGCATTTTGAAAATCAACCATCAATGCTTTTTTTTTTCAGGATAACACTTTAAAAATCTAGTGTAGATTTTTTATATAGACTTGGCCAAGTAGATATCCTTTTTATACTTTTGTTATATTTAGTGCCATTTCCACTTTCTTAAGTAGCAAATTGGGGACCAGGGTTATTGAGAGCACAAATGTGGTTCCACCGACATCGTGATGAAAATAATTTGTTAGTCTTATTCATTCGTTCAGTTTTTCATGTTTGTTGCCCTTTTTTCAGTTTTACCTATAAATATTCTTGGATGATATGCCTTATTTGGGTATCATGCTGATTTTTCTGGAAAAAAAAATGTGTGTGTGTGTAGAGATAATTGTAATTTATGGTGAGTGAATTATAAGAGTTACGTGTAAAACAGAGTGCCCCCTGAGGTTTGGGGAGGAAAGCCTTTACTGACTTAGAAGATTCAGGAAAACTTATATAGGAAGTAATATTTGAATTGAGCTTTAAAGGCAGAGTGGGAATTTGGCAGGCAAATAGTGGAAGAGAGGAAATTCTGAACATAACGGCAGTGTTGAAAGAAATGGTGGTGGAAAGGCACACGACATATGTTTGGGACAGATTATAAGTCTGTGTAGTGTGTGTGGAAGGAGGTGGTATGAGGAAGGCCCTGAATGACAGGTAGAGGAGAACTCTGATTTCTCTGAAAAATCAATAGATCATAGGATTGTAGACCTCATAGGAACCTTAGAGATCATCTAGTCCAATCTTCTTATTTTAGTCCTAGAGAAGTTATATGACTTACCCAGTGTCACATAAGTTGTGTCAGCAGTGAAATTTGAACCTAGGACCACCTCCAACTCTAGAGTCACTGTGTTTCCACAGTACCACCCATCTTCTTAAATTTACCATAGTTTATGGATCATAAACTTTGATTTCTTTTTCAGACCACATTTTGTCACCCTTCAGCCCTGTTTTATGTAGGGATTAAAGACTGGACCTATGATTTCATTGGTATAGGGAACTCTTGAGCAAGGAAACTTTCTGTACCAGTATGGGCCAGCATCTTCTTTTCAGTTTAGAGAGTTTTCTAGAGCATAGATGTCAAACCCTTTCCCCATTGTGGCCTAAACAGATTAAAAAGTAATTGGAAAATATTTAGCAAAATAAAAATTCAGTACAACATAGATAGTATTAATTTGTGGTCTAAGTCAACATGCAGCTTTTAGGGATCCTGTTTCTGTTTGAGTTTGACACCACTGACCTAACACCTAGATGTTAAGAGTTGACCAGGCTCACACAGCCAATGTATATCAGATGCAGTGTCTTCCTAGCTTTGAAGCCAGCTTGTTATCTACCATTCCATGCTGTCTCATCTTATATGCTTTCAAATTATACTTTGGCCAGTTTGTTTCCATTTCATGTTTTTATTTTTCTCAACATCATATATCTGTTTTGTTTGGTGCTTATGCTAATGGACTCGATGTCCTGGAATCCTGTAGTCAAGCTATTTAAAATTTCTCTGTCTTGTCTGTTATTTACAAGTAAAAAGATGCAAAATTTCTTAGATAAGATACCATAGTAGTTATCTTTTACAACTGATGAATGATTGTATAAATAATAAGATTCCATTGCTTATCCCAGGGTCACTTTCATTCTCTATTGATGCACCACTGATTGTAGTTTCTTAGAAGTTAAGATCTCATTACAGAATGACTTTGGGTCAGTTAGACAGCTCCAGAATGTCCCAGTGTCCACTTACAGAACCTACATTGGCCTGACAGTACCTTTTATCCTACATATAAGGTGAAAGGATTTGATTCTTAATACCAGATCTGTTTTTTTTAATAGTATTTTATTTTTTCCAAGTACACATAAAGACAATTTTCCACATTCATTTTTTGAAAGATTTTGAGTTCCAGATTTGTCTCCCTGTCTCCCTTCCTCCTCCCCAAGATGGCAAGCAATCTGATATAGGTTATACATGTGCAATCATGTAAAACATTTCTACCTTAGTCTGGATCTGTTCTTGAGAAGTTAATCTTTTTCCTCTTAAGAGCAGATTGTGGCCTGAGAAGCAATGCTATTCTAGGCCTAAGGTGTCATGACAGATTAAGAAAATTTTCTTTTTTGTGTGTGTGGATTAATTTTTGAGAAAAAATTTAATGTTGTAGATATTGTTATGCAAATTTGACACTGCAGCAGAAGACTCTGTAGTATTAGCTTTAGAAGAAAGTTGCAGTCATTCTGTTAATTGCCCTATTGCTGAGAGATGCTGTAAACAGCCTTCAGTTCACCTGCTGGCTGGTGACAGTTCTGGATTTGCCAGAGAAGACTGTTTTAGCACTGTGAATTGCTTACACTATAACACTTCTCCAGTGAGTAAAGATTTGGGAGAGAGAGGAGGGGCAGAGATGAAAATAAGATGGACAATCTATTGTGTTGGACTTGCACACGATGGAATATCAAATTTTCCAAAGATCCTTCCCTCTGCTAGTTGTCACATAGGCTGTCTGCAAGCCATTCTTGGAGTGCTTACCTTGTTATGGATAAAGTTGAACAGCAGTATCAGATAATATGGACTTTAGAGTTCCTGTACAAAAAAGGTAAACTTGATTCACTGGCCATTAACATTTCTTTATTGTTCAATTAATCGGTTTCATTTTTCAGTTGCTCTATAGTAAAATAAAACAGTATCTTAGACTTCACCTAGTGCAAGCTCCAAGATTATATAGTCTTTTTCATTCTTTGTAGAATTTATTGGGACAGACTTTATATTTTCAGCACCACTGCTTTGTACCAGCTGTGTGACCTCAGACAAGTCACTTAATAGACATTAAGAGACTTAAGCCTGAGTTTCCTCCTTTGTAAAATGAGGATAATGACATATACAACACTTATTACATGACTTAACGTGTTTCTAGGCAGCTAGGTGGTGAAGTGGATAGAGTGCCAAGCCTGAAGTCAGGAAGACTCATCTTCCTGAGTTCAAATCTGGCCTCAGACACTTACCAGCTGTGTGACCCTGGGTAAGTCACTCACCCCTGTTTGCCTCAGTTTCCTCATCTGTAAAATGAGCTGGAGAAGGAAATGATAAACCACTCTATTATCTGTGCCAAGAAGACTTCAAATGGGGTCACGAAGAGTCAGACGTGACAGAAAAACGACTAAACAATGTGCCTACCTTACTGTACTGGAGTTCAAATGAGATGATGTATGTAGAGTACCTTGTAAACCATGAAGCACTACTTTATATAAATCTGTCACCATCACTGTCATCTTGAAAGCCCAATTTTTCAATGTTTATAAGGAATTGGGGAAGCCCTCTTAAAAGAGGGGGCACTTCATCTGATCTTTAAAGGGAATGAAGGCGAGCATGAAGGTAAGCATAAAGGCAGGAGATGGGTTGGGGCAGGGGGCAGAGGATAGAACGAATGGCTTTATGGAGAACAGCAAGTGGGGGAGTTTGACCAGGGCTTAGTAGAATGTCTAGTCAGCCTCAAAAGTTAGGCTTGAGCCAGATCATGAAGGTTTTCAAATATCAAATAGATCTTTGTGGTTTATCCTAGAATTAATGGGGAATCATTGGAGCTTCCTGGGCTGGAAAGTAACATGGTCATACCTGTGTTTTCAGAATGTCAGTGTGGCAGTTCAGAGGGTGATGGATTAGAGGAAGGAAGGAAAGGCTAGATTTGGGGAGACCAGTTAGGAAACTGGGCTATAACTGCCCAAGGAAAAGATGATGAGGAGTGGTTGTAGGGTGAATGGAGAGAAGGAGACAAATGGGAGAAATGAATGAAAAGACATGTTTTTCTTTTAGCATATCGAAGATTTTTTTTTAATAATTTTTTCTTCATGGGATAATTAGTGATTTAAATATTTGGATGTGAATAGATTGTGTTAAGCTGTGATTATGAGTTAACATTTTTACAGTTTAGGCAAACATTGACAATATCTTTCCTGGGCTTTCTTATTCATTGAGATCTTGCCACATGTTGACAGTTAAAAATATGTCTAATTGAATCCTTTCTCTGTCCTTGTTTAGGATGTAATAGGCCAGGTTTTGCCTGATGCAACAACTACAGCATTTGAATGTAAGTATTGCTTGTATACTTTTTTTTTTAATATTTCTGCAGTAATTCTTCAAAGGGTTTATAGCTTGTGTTACTTTTAAAACTGACAAATATAGAGTATTTATGATCATCATATGGTACATTTAAATATTTATAAATTAATGCAAGTTTAATGATGATACTGAACTGAGTAATATTTTCTTATTTAATCACATCTTGAGTGTGCATATTTCTACAATATAGCTTTAATTACCAGCATGACCTTTATCTGCTCTTGCTTCTCACTGGAATAATATTGCTGGAACAAAATGAAAAGTGTAAACTACCTGTAGGCTGATGAATATTGATTAAGAGATTTTAATCCATTGCAGCTTTTAAAAACTGCAACAAAGTGGAGCTTTTAAACAAATATTGAATAGACTAACAGTGCTGCAGCTGGCTTCTTCAGGGCCACTAGGTGGTGGCAGCAAACACATTGGATTTTGGGATTTGAGTCTGTAATTGTCCTGGTCGGGCAGCAAGAGGAAGAGAGTTTGGGCACCAAGCAGGTTACTAACTTAGAGAACCAAATTTAGGTACTAATTGAAATAAAAATCTCCCTAGGAATATATGGGGGCAAATGCAGACTAGAGCACGTCACAGATTCTAGACAGAGCAGGACTTCAATTAAGAAGTTCAGAGAGCCGTTGGTGACTGTCATTGAAAACTGGGATCCCACCTGCAGAGTGATCTTAAGCAAGTAGAAATGAAGGTTGCATTCACTCGGCACTTAATTTTTTCTATTGGCTTTTTGAACTTCCAAACCTAGCAAAGGTACATTTCATAAACATATGTTCAAGGCTTACTTGTTTTTCCAGTTTAAAAAAAAAATTTGGCATCTTTAAAAATATATATATCAACTATTTCTGAATATGACCCTCTTCTTCACTCAGTGAGTGTACCTTATGCCAGAGTAAAAAAAAAAAAGTTCAACAAAACTAAGTTTTTTATTTGTCTTAGCTTCAGATGGGTTACTTATACATAGATTGCATATGAAAAGCTTACATAAAGAGAAATTTGAGTCTTTCTTTTTCTGAGACTGCACTTGTAGTCAAAGAAAGAAAATAGGTGCATCCCTTCTCCCAACACAAGGCAAAGCCCACACTAAATATTGTAGGTACCTCTTAATTAGAAGCCTGGAGATTACATGTTTATAGATTTTCTGTGACAAAATTTTAATCCTTTTCTGATTTTTCTTTGCCATATGCCATACTCTTGAGTCACCTCCATTATGGCTTAGGGAATGAAGACTTTTTAAAAAAAATATAAATCTGCAAAGCAAATTTTCAGGGCAAAAAACAATCAAAGCCAAACATAATTAGCATAATGATGCCAGATCCTAGTCTACCCTCTTCATTTTCAGATGAGGAGACGGGCTCAGAGAAGTTAAAATGCCTTCCTAAATGTCACATATGTAGTGACAAGACTGAGACTATAAAGAGCCCTGACTGATATTCTAGTGATCTTGCAACTACCAGGAATTCTTAACCTAGAGTCTGTGAACTTGAGTTTTGGGTTGTTGTTGTTGGTGTTTTTTTTTTTTTTAACAGTTTGATAATTGGATTTCAGTATAGTTAGTTTGCTTTGTAATCCCATGTATTTTATTTTATGCAATTAAAAATATTACTCTGAGGAGGGATTCATAGATTTCACTAGATTATCTGAAGGGTTTGTGACATAAAAAAAGTATGGAACCTCTGCACTACATCATGTTGGCTCTCTGATTTTATCTGCCATTTTGAATAATACCGGCTCATCTTCATCAGTGATGAAGTCAATTCAAAAGTTGACCAAATGGTTGATTTATTTGTACTCTGCTTTTTGGAAGCAAATATGTAAGCTTTTACTCAGAGGTTTGAAACTAGAGGTATACTAGGGCAGAATTTATAGTTCCTTTTTGACATTTCACCTTTTGGCATTAGTTTTAGTGCTGAACCTGCATCCTAGCAGAATCTTGAAGGAGGTTTTAAGTCCCTGAGACACTTACTAGCCCTGGGCAAGTCACTTAACCTCTGTTTGCCTCAGTTTCCTCATCTGTAAAATGGGGATATAATAGCATCTGCCTCCTAGGGTTGTTGTCCTAGGGATCAAATGAGATAAAAACTGTAGAGTTCTTAAAGTGGTGCCTGGCACATGGTAAATGCTAAATAAATGTTAACTATTATTATTAATTATATTTGTTTGGCAACTAGAAAAGACTGCTTCATATTAATTAAGTGATCATTTATGTGGAACATGGCAACCAGGCAGAGGCACAGAAAGCAATTCGATTTACTCAGCTTTGTTATGTCTAGAGCCCATCTCAAAAGAGGACTCTACTTCCAGTTTAACATCTATGGCCCTTTCTTTTCCTCACTTTTAAAATGAGCAGTTGAACTAAAATCCTTGCAGTTCTAAAATTCAGTGATTATAAGATATTATTTATTGAGTGTTTCTACTCAGAAAGGGCGTTGGTTTGGGCATCAGGAGAACTAGGTTCTAGTCTTAGCTTTAATTATGTAGCAAATAATATAGGATCATAGGATAAAAGAAGTTACTTTCCTTCTCTGAGCCTCAGTTTTTTCATCTATAAAATGAAAAAGTTGAACTAAATTACCTTTGCAACATACCAGTTTTTGAGTCTCTGGCACAGTCCACTTGTAATGTGTTGAATTGGGTTGAATGAAATAGAGAATAATAGTTTAATAGAAAGGAACAGGATAAGAAACTTGAGTAGTTTGAAATTCTCCCAAATAGTCCTTAACAGTGTCCGTAGTGCCTGGCACATAGTAAATGGCTAATAAATGCTTATTGACTAACAGTGTGGCATTATGATTTGGTTTGATATATAGTGAAATTTCCAGAAGTTACACATCTGTATTCCTTTGTAAGCCTCTTCCCCCAAAGAATTTATGATAGCTTTTGAGCTTTTGAATCATCTTCTATTTTCAGAAGCTGTTGCTTCCCACAGTTTGTATTAGAAAATCAACAATTGACTGTAATTGGTAAAGTCTTCTGTCAAAGTCTCAAGTTCTTCAGTTTCTTTAGAGACTGTTCTTTTGGTTCCCATATACTTGGAAGAGTAAAGGGAACGTAACAGTTAACATTTGACCTTTTCCTCTTTGTGATGCTATTTCTAGGAGGAATAAGGTCAGAATGAGCCAGGCCTGTAACTGTCAGGCTTATTCTTTGTGCCTATAGTCCTGTTTCTCTACTCAGCCTCCCTTCTGGTTCTTCCAGGGAGGAATAGTGATCATGTTTCCAACTTGCTTCTAACTATCATAATCACTCAGCATTATGTGTGTAAAGTGTTTGCGTGTTGGCATCTACACTTGTAGTAAAAACTTATTTGCTTATGTAGTCACAGAAACCTTTTGTGATGTTTCCAGTTTCATTAGTAGATTAATGAGTGTTCAAGTGAATGGAGTGATAATCATCAGCAGTCTGCACTAATGAATTTCATGTGAGGATCTATTGCCTGGTGCTGGCCCGCTTTTCTCTAGGTTAAAAGTTTCTGTAAAATGACAGCTGAGTTTAGAATATGGAATTTCCAGACACTTTGAACTCCTGGAGTATTTGGCAGCTCCAGAGATATCTTAAATTTTTAGGAATTGCTGGCTTACTCTCTTCCTTCTTGAACTGTTACCATTCTGCACTCATTTCTTAATGTATTCTGTACTCAAAGCTCTGAAGCATTCTGGTTTTGATGTATATTTTTTAAAACCCAACTCAGATATTCACTTGTGTCCTGGAAATATGTGGTCGTTTTAAGTGTATTAAAAATTTTTCCTTTTTTTTTTTAATTTTTAGGCAGTTGGGGTTAAGTGAGGCAGAGAGAGGTTAGGTGACTTGCTCAGGGTCACACAGCTAGTAAGTGTCAAGTGGTTGGTCTGAGGCTGGCTTTGAAGTCAGGTCCTCCTGACTTCAGGGCCAGTGTTCTATCCACTATGCTACTAGCTGCCCCCCAAATTTTCTAAGTATTGTAAGTTCTTAAAGCTCACTAGAGAAAATCTTTATTAACTCAGAATAATATAATGGAGTAGAAAGACCAATCAGATGCAATAAAAGTCTGCATTTTAAAATAAAATTAAAAGAAATCCAGTAGTATAATTTTAGTTAACAGTATATATTAATGGCAGCTAGCATTTATTATTTAATATTAGAGATAGTTAGGTGACACAGTGGATAGAGTGCTAGACTTGGAGTCAGGAAGATCTGAATTAAATTCTTGCCTCAGCCACTTGCTAGCTGTGACCCTGAGCAAGTCACCTAACCTCTCTCTGCCTCAGTTTCCTCAATTTATAAAATGGATAAAATTAGCACCTTCCTCCCAGGGTTGTTGTGACAATCAAATGACATAATGTTTGTAATTGTTGTTGTTCATTTGTGTCAGTCGTGTCCCCACTTGGAGTTTTCCTGGCAAAAATACTGGAGGGGTTTGCCATTTCCTCCTCCAGCTTATTTTACAGATGAGGAAACTAAGGCAGACAGTTAAGTGACCTGTCCAGGGTCACACAGCTACTGAGTGTCTGAGGCTAGATTTGAACGCGGGTCTTCCTGACCCCAAGCCCGGTGTACTATCCATTGCGCCACTTAGTGCCCAATATACATAAAGCACTTTGTAAATCTTAAGGTGTTATACAGATGAATTTATTACAATTCATTATGATATTATGATTGTTACAAAATGAAATGGATATTAATAATGTAGATTAATGAACAAATTACAGTTAAGAATCTGCCATATTTTATATAATGAGGGGCAGTATGATGTTAGTGGATAGGCCTTGGAGTCAGGAAGACTTGGGTTCAAGTTGCACATCTGATGTGTCTTGGCTGTGTGACCCGAGCAAGTCATTCAGTGTTTCAGTGCCTGGTCAGCTTTCTTTTACACACACACACACACACACACGTACATCTTTTTTATTTTTTCCCCAATTACATGTTAAAATAATTTTTTAACATTTTTTTAAAGTTTCAAGTGCCAGATTCTATAATTTCCT